CGTTGAAAAGGGTATGACATTATTAACATTATCCAATACATTGGCGTTGGACTGGTATGAATCGCTATTGGATTTTTTTCTGTTCTTTTAGGATATCGTGGGTATTTATATCTTTTCCGTCTTTCCCTATCAATTTAAAGATCGATTTCTCTCAATAATTTCCTTTTTGACAAATTAAGAAAATATTTCGAGATTTTTTTCTTCCTCTACTTTCCATTTGCTTTTGCTCTTAAAATAATCACCTCATTTTTTGTCACGCATTTTTTAAAATTCATCTTATTTTTCCTGAATTGACAACCGAATGGTCTCATCATCCCTGTTATTTAGAGTCATATAATTATAGTTCAATACTTCCCTAATTATTTTTTTTCTCTGACTACGAACTTAACCAAAATTACATGGTCACATCCTTCCCTATAAGGAACAGTGTTTCAGCACTCTGCTAAAGGATAGTTAATTATCCCCAAACAGCTTCAGCAGACGTTCCAGACATCAGAGCTGCTTTTAAAGTCGAGTGCAATTTAGCGAGAAACCCCTCGGAAATGGGTCGATCCTGCTAGATCGATCTAGGTAAGGGAAGGGGGTCTTAGCTATAAGAACTCGTACAGGTTTGTTTGATTTTGTGGGCAGACAGGCAATGTTTTAAGTGCGATGTAAGGCAGGAGTCGAACTTTTTTGCATAATTATGTTTAAACTTTCTCTGTTGGCTTTTAGTGCCAAATAGCTTTGATCCTCTCCAATTTGCCTACCGCAGTAACAGAAGTGTAGACGACGCTCTTTCTATGTGTTTACACAAAGTTCTCGAACATCTCGATTGTAAAAATGCCTATGTTAGAATTTTATTTGTTGACTATAGCTCAGCATTTAATACTATTGTACCAAGCAAATTGTATTTTAAACTTTTGGATGATCTTAATTTTCCACCAGCACTCTGCGATTGGATTTTAGATTTTCTTTTAAACAGAAAACAGTCAGTAAAAGTCGGTTTTAACTTCTCGGACACTATAGTTTTAAACACTGGCACACCCCAGGGCTGCGTCTTATCACCTTGTTTATATACGTTATTCACCCACGACTGTGTGGCGAGGGAGGAAAATACATTTTTAATGAAGTTTGCCGATGACACAACTTTAGTCGGCTTGATACACCATAATGATGAGATGTCATACAGGCAGTCGGTTACAAGTTTAGTAAATTGGTGCACAGACAATGACTTGATATTAAATGTGAGCAAAACAAAAGAAATGATCATAGACTTCAGAAGAAATCAGATAAGTAAAAATCCCTTGGAAGTTAACGGTAAAGCGGTCGAACAGGTTTCTAATTATAAATTACTAGGGGTTCAGCTGAATAATAGGTTAACCTGGGGCGATAACATCACGAAGCTATTGAAAAAGGCACGTCAACGAATGTATTTCTTAAGGAAATTGAAAGCTTTTACCAGAAATGTGTTTATTTTAACGAACTTTTACAGGTGTGTTTTAGAGAGTAT